CCCCCCCCCCCGGGCCCGGCGAAGGGACCCTGGCCATGGAACTTTCAAGAGGTGGCCTCTTTGCGAGCGGAATGCCTGAGAATTGAGGCACCTCTTTGTTCCAACGGTTCTCCGTGCTGTGAGACCGAATGGGCTTAACGACGCTGACCAGGCCGAGCGCAGGAGATCACGTGGCAGAAACGAAATGAAAGCGAGGTCGAACGACCGATTATGAACATGAGTCAATTTTGTAGCATTTAAAGAGGAAAAGATAGCTCCCCACCCCACTGAACGGGAGAAAAAAGCGAGCGGGGGAGGGACGCCTCCCATGCGCATGAATTTTTGAGCGATTGAGGGGGGGAGCGGAAGAAAACGCAAAGAAAACTGCCTAGAAGTACTTACCCAAGCAAGTCTAAGCGGTCAAGCGCACATTCAGAGACTTTTAAAAGACTAACTCGGCTTAGAGGGAGCACTGGAGGCTGCCCTTTAGATAAAAATTGCGGTGCTTCTGCTGAGAAGTTCTTCTCAAGTTATCTGCTTAATAAAAAGATGTTGGCTTTTGTGTTTTTGTTTCCCGCAGGCAACTATCTACAGAGTCTTCTGACCGAAAGTTTAAATCTTTCTTTCACCAGCCTCTCAAATGCTAGCACCAGCTATCTGGACACCTTGGTGGACTCAGCCGTAGCCCTTGAAACAAAGGACACTTCCCTTGCAAGGTAGAATCTGCCTTTAATTTTCTCATTGGTAGAAGTTTGTTTGAAATGCTTTCAGGCCGGGTTAGCGAGAACAGAGACGGCCATTTTCTTGAACTTCTGTGTATTACGTTCGTTTTTGCTGAGAAAAAGCGAACCTGTGAGAAAACGGTCGTTTCGAAGAGGAGCAGGGTCCACACCAGTGTAGTGTAGTGTAATGGTTAAGAGTGTCGGCCTAGGATTTGGGAGACCCAGCTTCAAATCCCCTCGTGTGCCCTAGAAGCTCGCTGGGTGACTTTGGGCCAGTCACATTCTCTCAGCCTAGCCTACCTCACAGAGTTGTTGTGAGGATAAAATGGAGGAGGGAAGAATGATGTAAGCGGCTTTGGGTCTACAATGGGGAGAATGGTGGAGTATAAATGAATTGAAAATGAAAATTCTGGAACAGCTGCATTTGAGTCCAATAGTACCTTAGAGAGCAAGAAGTTTTCTGGGGAGGGAGGGAGGAGGAGGACACTGGATTTATACCCCGCCCTTCACTCTGAGTCTCAGAGCGGCTTACAAACTCCTTTCCTTGCCATAGTTCTGGCACAGCAAGCCATAGTTCTGTCAGAGCTGTTCTTGAAAAAGAGCAGTTTCTGTCAGAGCTCTCTCAGCCCCACCCATCTCCCAGGGTGTCTGTTGTGGGGAGGGGAAGGGAAAGGAGTTTGTAAGCTGCTCTGAGACTCCTTTGGGTAGTGAATGGGCGGGGTATAAATCCAATCTCTTCTCTTCTTCTTCCCTTCCCCTCCCCACAACAGACACCCTGTGAGGTAGGCGGGGCTGAGAGAGCTCCTTCGAGGACTGCTCGTGAGAGAACAGCTCTTGTCAGAACTATGGCTTGCCTGAGGTCATCCAGCAGCTGCAAGTGGAGGAGTGGGGAATCAAACCCGGTTCTCCCAGATCAGAGTCCGCGCACTTAACCACTACACCAAACTGGCTCTAACAAAGCTCATTCCCCCCCCCCCAACCCTTTTTGGTCCCTAAGGTACTACT